AGTCAACTGGTTCAGGAGCTATGATCATTTACATAACATGCTCCAAATAGGCGCAATTGAGACCAACGCAGAGCTGGATACATTTGGCAAATACCCTTACATATTCCGACCTTGTTATGGCATTACATTTAGCATTTATTGCCACCTTTAGGTCAGCAATTGTCTCAGGATTGTTTTGGTACACATTGTCTTTCAAATTGCCCCACAAAAAGAAATCAGGTGGATTCAAATTTGAGGTGTATGGAGACGAAGCTTATCTGACCTATGGCTTCTGACTCAGTGGTCCCACTCAGTTACAGTATCATCCTAAGGAGGTATTGGGCAGCCCTTGGTTTCCATATGGGATTTAATTGTGCCATATAGTGGTTTTAGTAACATGGCACTATGCCCAATATCTAAAGTGACTCTTAAGATTGGGTAAATCAGCACTTTGGCAACAGGATGATGAACCACATGTCAGATAACCCTTCATTGCCATTACAGCCTAGACTTGAATCCTGCTGATTTCTTTTTGTATGGATATTTGAAAGACAATCTATACCAAAACAATCCTCAGACTATTGTTGACCTAAAGAAGGCAATCACTGCTATATGTAATGCCATAATAATGCCATAGAGGGCAGAACATGTAAGGGTAGTTTGCCATATGAATCCAACTCTGCGTTGGTCTCAATTGTGCCTATTTGGAGCATGTTATGTAAATGATCATAGCTCCTGAACCAGTTGAGTGCTTGTATTGAAACCTTCAGTAACAAATTTCCATATAACTGTTCCAGTGTATGCAAAATTTCATTGATGGCACTTGTCTAGTTTAGGAGAAATTGATTACTTCAATGGTCTCCTTTTTTTCCGGTCACCCTGTAGTTTGATTGAAATGCTTGAAAGTGCGAAACAGTCAAAGGTGAATCGATTGAAATGTTCGAAATGACGCAAGCATTGAAACGTATAGGAAATTGCACAAACGTGGAAATGAAAGGAGTGATTGAAACGATTGAAAAGTTATTTATGGTGTATACAGGGCTTTACAGTGTATGCATTGTATAATACATGATCTATCCATCTTTCTCCTATACATTCTGGTTCGTTTATTTTGAAATCCAAGGTTGGATGCAACTCTATAACATGTCTAAAAAAAAAACGCTCTTCTCTGGTGACTTGAAGTTGCAATAGAAACATTTCAAACGTGGCCCAAGAATGAAACAGTATAATATAATTATTAGAAATACTTAAATTGGTCTTTCCTGTACGTTTATTTAAAGAATCTCAAAAGTTCATGGAATAGTAATGCAGCTTTCCTCAAGATCGAAGCGGGTACTCGTGAAATCTGCTCCTGATTTCAGCAGGACCTCCTCTTGTTTTCAGCGGGGCTTCCTCATAATTTCAGCAGGGCCACTGGAACACCTTCAAAGGTGTATTTCACCACCCACAGTAGATGTTATTGTAGACTAACTTATCAATACATACAATGTTGATCCAATATTCATTATGAGGTATGTATATCGTAGTTCTTGTCTCTATTTTAACAATAAAAGTATTATTTTAACAGTAAATTATGCAAACGTGCATATTGACGCCCGTTTCTTCCATGCAAGTGAAAAAATATACTTTTTCTTTCATTGTTTGTGAAGATATACCTGTTCACAAACTATACCCAAAGTATCAAAGAACTGTTATTAGTATTCTTAGCTTTTTGGTCCATATTTCAAGGTGAAATAAATAAAAATGACTTTGCTCGTGATTTCAGTGGGAACTTGCTCGCGACCTCTCAATTATAACGGGGCTCAAGGTACTATCCGTGCTGTTGGTAATGTTAGAATTATTCCAGATAAGTTCATGTCCTATTTCATTATGTTTGACGTCCTTTCCCTCAATGAAGTTTATGGACGTCCATATTTTTAAAGCCTCTTGTATAGATTTAATCTTCAGGTTGTTCAGTTGTACCTTTTCTATTTCTCTGCAGTTCCATTTCCAAATGTTTTGCCCGTTTTGTTTTCTGAGGTGGTGTCTCCATAGCTTTGCCCATTTGGAATTCATTTCCTCATTATTAATGCATTTTATCCACTTAAATTCCAAGTTTCTAGCAAATGCTCTTACGTCAATCATATTTAATCCTCCTTCTTTAACCTCTCTCATTAATGTTTTTCTTGCTATCTTCTCTGACTTGTTGTTCCAGATAAATGCGTAAAATATATCTTCTATTTTCCTCATTATTTCTCCTGGCATCGGTAGTACTGTCATCATATACATTAGTTGGCTGAGTAGGGCCTTTATTATTATGACTTTTCCTATTACTGTTAGGTTTCTTTGCCCCCATGGTTTAACGATATTTTTTATTTTCTCTATGGCCTTTGGGTAGTTTACCTCTTCTATATTGCGGTTGTTGAAGAGGTTTTGGTCCTTAAAATTGAGTAGTGGTCCTTGGGACCAGTAAAAATTCATGTGAAGTGGTCCTGGAGAAATGTTGGTCGCCAAGTAGGACCACTTCATTTCAATTTGTTACTGGTCCCAAGAAAAAAAAAAAAATTAAGAAATTATTTGTGCCACCTTGAAATTGAAGCAGCTTCTTTGCATGCCGGTACATTTCATTGAATTTCCTTCTTGAATGAATAAGCTAGGGATTACCTTGCTTCCAATAATCTGAAAAGAATTGTTTCTTTCTTCTTTTTGGAAACTAATGCTGACGCGACTAAGACTCATCACTTGGAATTTCTGTGAACGTATTTGCGTAAAAATCCAGTGGGATCAAGAACTTAATTTTTCTGAATATGTGGAAGTAAAAAGATTAGATATCAAGAAGAATTAAGGTGGATGTCAATGGATTTTGATAGAAAAATCACTATAACATTTTGAAAATATCACTTTCGGTAAGCTACTTCCGGTTTCTGGAAATTGTAAACTCGAATCTTATTGGTTCACAGTAGATGATGCAATATAGCTAGCCAATCAAATTGAACCTTACAATTCTTGTTGGGCGATAATTAGAAGAATGAAAAATAATCAGAATCAGAATATGCTGACAACTTTGGACCGAGTCACCGTCAGATAAGGTAAAAATGTTAATAAATTCTTATAAAATGAATAATGCTCCATATAGTGTACTCACAATGAGGACCACTAGATTTCACATGTTGGTCGCAAGTACTGAAATCTGGTCGCAAATGCGACCAGGTCGAGTGCTTTCCAAAACCTCTGTTGATTGGTATTGTTATACCCAGGATGTTTATTTCAATTTCTTACAGTTTAGTTCCTATTGTGTGACAGATATTTTGAGTTCTTTGTCTGTGTTCCTCTGTGGGGTCTGCTCCAATAATTGCCACAATAGTTTTATCTACGTTTACCTTTAGGCCTGATATGATAGCAAACTTTCTGAGCATTTCAAAGCTTGGCTGTAAGGAGTTTTCTCCCTCAAGTATGATGCATGTGTCATCTGCGTACTGGCTGATTTTCACTGTTGTTTCACCATCTATTGTTATACCTGTTATCTCATCTGAATCTCTTATAGCTGAGCTTAGTATCTCGGCACACAGTATGAAGATATACGGACTAAGTGGGCATCCCTGTCTCACTCCTCTACTTATTGAAAGCTTACATTGTAGTATTTTTAAATCTATTTTGTTCCAAACTAAACTTTGATAATAAATATGTGACATATTTTCACAGACTAACAACATGTACATGAAGGTTTGACTTGGGCTATGATAAAAGGATGTTTGCAGTTTTGAGTTTCCTTTCCTTGATGAAACCTGTACTAGTGTTCTGTTGCTATTTCTTACCTGGTCTTCCTGATTAAATGCAGATGATTTTCAGTAATACTTATCATACTCTTCTACTCTTATCATACATCTTCCATTACAAGCCTTTTTACATCACAATGCGAGTCAGTATAATGAGGTGATCCCCATTTTTTGAAACTACATTTTTCTATTCAGCGGAAGTGACGTATTAGGTTTATAGTTTGGCCTATGACACATTATTTTACAAAAAATGACAGTCATTTTGAAATTCAGCCGCCATCTTGAAAATTCTTTCTTGAACAGAGTAACTTTGTCCCTAGGCATAAATATATCAAATTTGAACCAAATCCATTCACTGGTATTTCAGTTGAATATCCCAGATGCGAGTAGAAATAATCTTGATTTACGTCATTAAAAACTCACAATTCAGTCAAACTGATGCCCAAACAACACTAATTTCTTGGTGATGTAAAGCCACTTGCAATATTATTATTAATGACATGACTCTTAAACTAACCGTGGCATTTCAAGTTTGAATACCAGACTAGATGGAAGAAGAAATAATCTTGATTTACATCATTAAAAATTCAGTTAAACTGATGTCATATTTGGAATCTACATGTAAAATTACATTTAGAAATGTGGTTTTGAAAAGAGTTTATCAACTTTGAAAATTTAATTTTCTTTGAAAATGTGACTTCTAGGTCAGGGAGATTCCCAATAGACCCAATGTTGTAAAACCACAAAAAGTGAAATATCTTTTCTTGTGTTGGGCAGATGATATTTTATTTTACTGGACATGTTTTAATTTGTATTTAAAGTATCAGATACATAAGGGTAATAAGAAAAGTGAACCACTAAAACTGATGCATATTCAAGTTTAAGGGAATTTTGTAATACCCTGCCATATTAATTCCCCCGAATCAGCCACCTGGTGGCGAAACTGGTAACTACCTACTCGCATCTGAGTAATTGGGTGGCCAATTGAAAATTCTTTCAGGAGCGAGGTCAAATTTGAAGTCCATCAATCCATCAATCAGTATTTGAGTTATCACCCGGACACAGGGATGGTAAATATACGAACAGGTGGCTTTTCTATATCCCTCTTGAACTTTGTTCAGTGGGATCATAATGTTCATATCTCAAATTGATTATAATTAAATATTCTCAATACTGAAACATTATGACAAAGATTGTCTCTAAATATTTTGTCTCAAACATGTGTGGACAAGCGATCTGTTCAGATCTTTGATGGTATTAACTTACCTAATATTGCACAGCCAGCCTCACTATCTTCCTGCTGGAGTATTGGGTTTGGACCAACTGATCCATTATTCCCCCTTTGCCACGCAGGTCTGCTACTCACTGTCACAGGACCTTTTACAAAATATAAAAACTATGATTCCAATTGAATTTTGAATAAGGATTTTATGGAAGATGTGATCTAGTTATACCACTGAAATAAACACATTCATCATTCAAGCCACTCTGACCAATTATTTTGGCTAAAGCGTAGCGAATCCCATAGAACAGCCATGGATGGCATTTTTACAAACAAAGTATATAGCAAAAATGGCAGCCATTTTTCAAAATGGCCGCCTTCTACCAAAAATGTCATTAGACAGTGTGCCATGCTTACAGTATTCACATACCAAATATGAACAAAATCGCTTCACTACTTTTCAAGTTATAGTAAAATATGTTAAAATGGCAGCCATTTTTCATTTTGACCATGTGCCATACTTATAGTATTCACATACCAAATATGAACAAAATCGCTCCACTACTTTTCAAGTTATATTAAAAAACGTTAAAATGGTGGCCATTTTTCAAAATGGCTACCTTCTACCAAAAGTGTCATTAGACAGTGTGCCATGCTTACAGTATTCACATACCAAATATGAACAAAATCGCTTCACTACTTTTCAAGTTATAGTAAAATATGTTAAAATGGCAGCCATTTTTCAAAAAAATTTTCAAAATGGCCGCCTTCTACCAAAAGTGTCATAGGACAGTGTGTCCTGCTTATTATTATTATTATATCTTGGTTACCGCCATATTTTGGCGAGCAATACCTCATTGGTATATTCTGTATTTTTTACGTATTTTAACACTCGAAGATAGAGCCAGAAACCCCTCCTTGGAGGAGCCCTGTTTTCTTTTATGTGCACAGGTAAACAGACATACAAGTACACACCACAGCCTTTTATAACACGAGTCGTGAACCACTCAGTCAAACACCCAGAATTACATAACGCATAAACAAACTTGTCTGAACCGGGAATCGAACCCGGGGCCAAGCGATATTGGTAACCTTGACTCTCTCTGCCACTGAGCCATAGCGGGTGGACTTATAGTATTCACATACCAAATATGAACAAAATCGCTCCACTACTTTTCGAGTTATAGTAAAATACATTACATTTTTCAAAATGGCCGCCTTCTACCAAAAGTGTCATTAGACAGTGTGCCATGCTTACATCACTACTTTTCGAGTAATAGTAAAATACGTTAAAATGGCGGCCATTTTTCAAATTTTTTTTCAAATGGCCGCCTTCTACCAAAAGTGTCATAGGACAGTGTGTCATGCTTATAGTATTCACATACCAAATATGAACAAAATGGCTCCACTACTTTTTGAGTTATAGTAAAATACGTTTAAATGGTGGCCATTTTTCAAAATGGCCACCTTCTACCAAAAGTGTTTTTAGACAGTGTGCAATGTTTGAAGTATTCACATACCAAATATGAACAAAATCGCTCCACTACTTTTCGAGTTACAGCAAAAATCATAAAATAACGAGTAAAGGCTGCCATTTTTCAAGATGGCTGCCATGTGCTTCTTTAATATCTACACTTCTAGCTTTATTAATGTCCTATATAATTTTTTTACATCTAAAACAAATTGCTATTACAATTTTACATATTGCACCTAAATTACTGTAAATTCGGCACTAAAATGGCCGTCATTTTGAAATGAGCAGCCATTTTGAAAGTTGGCTTTCGAGCAGAACTTCTACTCCCATAGGGTATATGTGTACAAAATATGAACAAAATCGGGCCAACGGTATTTGAGTTATTGCTCGGACGGACGGACGGACAGACGGACGGACGGGGGGTTCCCTATATCCCTCCGAACTTCGTTCGATGGGATAATTAAGTAAATATATAATTTAGTATAGAGACAAGCAAAGCAAAGACTCACTTGGACAGATTTATCCCAAGCGAATATTAAGATTCGTTTTAAATTGGTTGCAAAGGACGAATCTCGGTTTGGAGAACGAAGTTCATCAATCTAAATGAGCATTATCCCTGCTTCGGACAAATTTGATTTTTTTTACATAATATAGATTTGAATGTCTTCTTTTGAATAGCCATAATTTAATTTGGGTAATATTTCCAGATTTTTCGCAAAAAAATATTAGCGCAGTACACTGATGAACTTCTTTCCCCAAATCGAGACTTGTATTTTATTGAATCGGTCTAATTGAGCGTTATCCCTGCTTCAGACCAATTTGTTATTTTTACATCTTGTAGATTTAAATGTCCTCTTCTGATAGAAAGTCAAGAGTAGAGAAGAAAATATTGAAACATTCATCCATCCTTCCTATCTGATCTTATCCTATCCTATCCTATCCTTCCTATCTATCCTTCCTTCGTATCTTTTCCTTCCTATCCCCTCCTATCATATCCTTTCTTCCTATTCTGTTCTATCCTATCCTTCTTTCTTATTCTATCCTATCGTTCCTTCCTATTCTATCCTATTCTACCTTCCTATTTTATCCATCCATCTTTTTCTGGATGACTCAGCTTACTCTGGATGACTCGGCTTATTCTGGATGACTCGGCTAAAAAGAGTCTAAATCTGGAGTCTGAAATTGAACTTGTTCAATTTCCAAAGTCTAGTTATATTACTCATTGATCACATCGGGTCTGATGTCTGATAACATCGGATCTTTTAGGACAAAGTTTATGTGAAGATTTTGCTGTCCAAAAATGCTATTTTGACCTAATAGTTTGACACTTAAAGGGTGACGCATATCGTTTAGCAAATCGAACGCTCGTTTCTGGTGTTGCTCACCGTTTACCCTGCTATCACACCAAACTAGTTCTCACTACGTTCTCAAAAACGGGCTTCAACTGTGTACGAACGGACTGGACCTACTAAGAACCGTTTGGGATCTATTAACAAACTTCATCGAACGTACTCGAACGGGTAGGTCCTCTAGAACTTAGACAATGCTCAAAATGTTCTCGTGGTCGTCACGTTCTACAATTAGAACGAGTGACAATGTACTAACGACGAGCTGGACGTACTACGAACGGAACCGTCGTACTTCAATCCATCTAGGGACGTTTTAACAACGAGTTGAATTGTCTGAGGACGTGTTGAGAACGAGGTAGATCTAATTGCAAACGGGTTTAAACTGATTGAGAACGTATTTAACACTGCTTATGAACGAGTTAGCAAAAATATAGCTATCACACCAAACAAGTTGCCACTGCGTTCTTCAAAACTGTGTGCGATCGGAATGAACGTAGCTGCAACTTTCTAAGGTCTATTTACGAACTTTATGATCGTTCTCAGACGGGAATGTGATTTTAGAATTTTGAATCGATTCAAAATTCGATGGCGACCATAACGTTCTGTAATCAGGTCATGTTGACCTTCTAGACTAAGGGACGCGTTCTACTACGTTGCACACCGACGTGGTGCGACCTGAACGAACTGCGAACGAGAAGGACGTATTGAAGACTGTTTAAGAACGAAGAAGCTAATTATTTCAGACATATTTCCCGACCACAACCAGATTGAGCCCGTTTTACGACGTTTTCGTAGGACTGGCAAGAACGGATAAGAACGAGTTTGGTGTGATAGGGGGGTTAGTATAAAAGGCCCGATCCCGGAATATTACTCAAGGGTTCACAGGTTCGAGGTCGTTGTGTCAACTCCTCTAACTGTTATATAGCATAAGTATATTATAGATCGTCACACATTTATAAAAGGGTGATTTTTATTTTGACAAATCAATTCCACATTTATGGGTGAAGTTTCAGGATCTTCTATTTTTGTACAATAAGGAAAAATTGGCATCTAAATTTCCCCATAACGTAATAGCACACAGCTTGGCATATGAAATATCCTACAAATGAAACAAAGCAAGACAAACCGGTTTCTAATACAAGGATTTATATTGGCTGTTGTACATGTATTCTTTGAACGCAATCACTCTTTGGATAACGTTTTCAAAATCATTATAAACGGATTACTTTATCTCAAAGACAATTTCAATAAACTGGATTTTACAGAACTCCCCTTATTTCTTAAAAATGGACTGATCCAGTTGATTCGCCTGGAGCCGCCATATTGTTTTTATACGGGATGCTAATCGGAACCCTTTAATATATTATGCATATGACATGCATTTACCGACACAGGTATGTCTTATGTATGTCTCGTTATCAATTAAAGTGAATATGACTGAGAAAACAAACCAAAAACCATTATACGTTTTACTTATCTCTTAATTTGTACATAAAAATATATTTCAACTATAATTCTAGGCCAATTCCGCCTGCTAGAACATCTTAGTAACGATTCTAACCATCCAAGAGAATTGATAGAGGTCCAATATTACCTTTATTGTCCATTTTCCTATGAGATGTAGTTTACCAAACATTGGATTGGCGGTATATGCATGTCTTACTCGGCGGTAGGTTGTATATACGCGGGTAGACTTTCCCCTCGTGAAACTGATAATTGTGTTTGCAAAGGTTTTGAATATATTAAAGTATGCATTATTGGTATGATATTCTTTACTTCTATGAATATGTGAAAAATATAACTGGAGAAATACGACAGAATGCAGTACGGAATAAAATTTGAATACTTGGTGAAATGCTAATTTGAGTAGTAAACCTAATGGCCTAGTCACATAGCCCGGCCGATGTCCGGCATCGGTAGAGCTCGGTGGATTTTTTTGGTGCCACCGAGCTCTCCTCATCGGAAGCAGAGCTCGGTGACGTGAACGGACTCCGTCCGGACATCTTCAGGCGACAGACCGAACACCGGCCGGTGACCGTACGGAGTCTGTCTCAAAATGGTAGTTTTTTTCTGCCAATGTGGCAGCAACTACCGGCCGGAGGTCGGCCGGACATCGGAAGGAATACGGCCGGTACCCGAGCAGGTAACAGGACACTGTGCGATCGCCGGCCGGGTTGTTAACGGGCTTTGAACAGTGACCGGCCGATGCTCCGTCCCACATCGGCCGGAGCTCGGTCGGAGCTCGGCCGCTGTCCGTTAAAAAACCTCGTCCTCTGGTTGTCTCAGATGCACGGGACACCGACCGATACTCGGCCGTGCACCGGCCGACGTG